TTTCCTTTCCTTCTTTGACAGTAATATGGAAATAGTTGTGTTGTTGTTGTTGTCGTTATGTGCCGTCCAGTCGGCCCTGACTCATAGCGACCTCTTCTTGGGTTTCTGAGGCGGTATCACTACGGAAGTAGATTGCCAACCTTCCTTCTGAGGAGTGGCTGGTGAGTTTGACTCACCAGCCTTCTGGTTAGCAGTCAAGTGCCTTAGGAAATAGTTGTAGATGGGAAAAACAAACAAACAAAAATAAAAAACACCTCAGTGCCATGGAGTCATTTTTGACTAATAGGGACTCCCAAGGGGTTTCTGAGGTGGTAAATCTTTAAGGAAGTAAATTGTCCCATCTTCCTTACCCCCTCTCCTTGGAAGGAGGAAGGAAGATGGGGCAATTTACTTCCCTAGAGATACTGCCTCGGAAACCCAAGGGGGGGGGGTAGCTATGAGTCAGTATTGACTCGACATCAGTGAGGTTTTTTTTTTTTTTTTTATTTGGTTTTCCTTCCCCAGAGCAGCTGGTGGGTTTGAACTGCCAGCCTCCTGGTTAGCAGTCAAATGCCTTCTGCGCTATGGCCACTAGAGCGTCTTAGATGGAAATAGTGGTAAAGAATACTGAAAATACCATGGACTGCCAGAAGAATGAACAAATCCATCCTGGAAGAAACACAGATAGAATGTCCTTTAGGAGTGAGAACAGCCAGACTTCGTGTCTCCTGTACTTTGGTCATGTGGTCAGAAGGGACAGGTCCTTGGAGAAGGAGATCATGCTTGGTAAAGTGGATGGTCAGACAAAAAGGGGATGACCTTCAATGAGATGGACCAATACAGTGGCTGCAACAAAGGGCCCAAGCATAGCAAGGATTGTGAGGATGGCACCGTGTTTCGTTCTGTTGCATGTAGGCGGAAATGACTTGATGGCATCTAACAAGAACTACATTTTTTGTGTGTGGGCCTTTAGTTTTTTCAAAACATGTTTTTTAGAGTACTTTGTGTTGTGTATAAAGTACCAAGGATTACTATTACCTTTTCCCCCTGCACATTGTTTCTCCTATTAACATCTTGCATTACAGTGCTACTTTTGTTACATAGGTGTGAAAGAAAAAATATTAATAACAGACATCTTATTTTGATTTTAGCCATGAAACAAATAATTAATTGTAAAAAAGCCTGACCCAATCCACAAAAGCGTTGACTAATTTTTTTTTAATCAAAAGCTGTTCTGCAGCATGATAAATTTGTCTTTTCTTGCTAGAAAAGAGTAGTTAGTAACAAATCCATTACCTCAGATCTGATGAAAAAGCTATGAACTTCCCCAATTTTAATTTTAAGAGGTCTATGTTTGGCTGGGTTCTCTAGAGAAACAAAGCCAGTGAAATACATG